GGTTCTATTTGGCACAGCTCGAGACCTAAGATTTTCTAACGCTAGCCATTTCTGCCTATAGAAATCCATAAATATGATCTAACATTACAGTTTGGATAAATCTTTCTGTTCGTATTTTATAGGAAATATTAAATTTCAAATCACTGTAATTTTACTTACAAACTTTAAATCCAACAAAGATATGAGATCTAGAGCCGTGCCCAGGGCCGTGCCGTCAAATTTGTAGGCCCTGTACAAGGCTCTAAGTGAGGCCTAAATCAAGTAACAAATATAGCTAAAATAATGTATATACTGTAGAGCAAATGCGATATACCAAGAATAGTATATTTTTTAACTCTTGTTTTGCATAATCAGAAACTGTCAAACTGAAAACGGAGAATGGTCGTTGTTGTTGCTGGCTTGCTGCCTAGTGCCTTGCTTGTTGGTTGCTTGCTAAGTTAGTATTCACTGGTTGAATAAAAATGTGAAATTGGATGAGCCGGCTGGCGGCTTGGTGCTCGGAGGAGACGAGACGTCGAGACTCGAGACGAATTGAATAAGTCACAGATACGAAAACGAAAGAGAATACAAAACGCCGTGGGCCCTCGGGGCTCGGAGTTGAGAATACGAAGCGTCGCACACGCGAAGTCGCCACGTGGAGATACGCGCGGACTCGAACGGGGTTCTGGCGCTCTGGCCTCACACGAATACATGGGATGGGCCTTCTTCAGTTGGGCTGATTTTTTGAGGCCCTATACGGTCGCACGAGCCGGATGCCCCTGTGCACGGCCCTGGCCGTGTCAGTTATGTGCATGAGCCTATGTTTGAGGGAAGCTTCTGGCAGCTGCAGTTTTTTTAAAAAAATTCTTCAGCTCCCCTAAATTGTCCAGATTATTTTAACCAAATTCCAAAATATATATATTTGTAGAATAAAAAACAAACTAGGAGTTAGAAGCTAGAAACCCATATTTTTATATTCTTGTCATCATTTGTTTCATAGAATCTCGAGCTAATAGAATCTTGAGCTAACATATATATAACAGGGCCTCAAGAGCCTATTAAGAGAAACTTTAGATTCTGATAAATAACTGATGAGAATTTAGCAGGTGAGAATCCGAAAAGGTTAGGAAAACCAACTTATGGTATCTAGTCTATTTTTAAAATTTTGTAACTACAGTATATCATAATTTGAATAAAAACTAACTATTCGAGGGAACTTGTGAGATGTGTTACAAAATCCATGCATGGGCATGGGCTCCAACGAGAATGAATTAACGGAAATCATGATTTAGCAATTGAGCCAAGGTGAAGTACCGGAACCGGATCACAACGGTAGGCGTGAAATGGAGCAATGGAGCCCGATAGGCGATAGCGCTTTACATGCCCATTATTCAACGACGTCCATGATTTAGCAACTGCCATTAGGTACACATATATCACGAAAACGATGTCTACATGTGCTGATTCAACCTGCTCCCACTTTTCACCCTACTTTGCTGAAGCAGTTAGACGTTGCAAGTCGCAACTATTTATCGACCAGCCTTCGATCATCCCCGAAAAAAAAGAAGACTTCTCGATCGTGCTATATCCTTTTCCCGTGAGTTATCCGAATTCCTACGTGAATCTTTTCGATAAGTTTGGCGAGAAGCCTGCTAGCTCACCGGCCGGCCGGCCGTCCATTCGAGCCCAACCTTTCCCGGGTCGCCGTCGTACGTTGTCGTTGCCTTCTCGTCGCCATGCATGCGGCTGACGCGACCAACGAGCTGTATGCGCGTACTGTGCGCGTCTGCGTGCAACCGACGCCAACAGTGGTCGCACCCGTCTCGCGAAAGGAAGGGTGAAAAAAACCACGCATCTGCAGACGGACGTCGTCGCCGCTGGCCACAGTACGCCCCCCACCGACCGCGCGTACGCCTCCCGAAAGGCGCTTTTTTGAGGGGAAAAGATACACGACTACTCAGAATCTAATCTATCCTCGCCTAGCTAGCTTTTAGTTTTTTTGTTCGGTCGATCGATCGATCATCCGATCGCCACGGGGTCGAAGAGCGGAGGCGGCACATGTGCTCGTGGGAGGCAGCAGATACGGCACTCTCGTTCATTTGTTTCGTCGGCCGCGGCGCGATCGATCGGCAGTGAGGTAGGAGCGGATGGGTACTGGGTACACATCATACATACACGATGGCTGAATCTGAACGGCTTCTTGGTGGTGGCCGCGCCGACGCGCGTACGTACGGGCAATTGATAACTGATCATCTAGTATGCTGTATGCATATGCTTGCTTCCTCTTTGCGCCACGTACTGTAGCAAATTGGTACTGTACTGATCATTTCTCTTGAATTCGAATAGTTGAGCTCTGTTAAATTAAACACCATAGGAGTATTTTGTTTCTTACTACCGTATATTTGTATGGAACTTGTCTGGCGAGGCCAGCATCAATTCGATTTCTCATTTCTCGCACAGACTCCGTTTCGGAACCAGTACACAGGAAATGAATGAATTAACGGCATCCTTGGTACTTGGGAAGGAAGACTAATGGACTAGCGTCGACGTGTTGCGTACGTGATTCCGGTAGAAAAATTGGGGGCAGTCGGCGGAGGTCGACGTCAGTCGACGCTTCAGTACGTGCCAGATTTGCTTACAAGTCTCGGTTGTATATATCCTCAGCCTCAGATCATTTTGCCTGATCAAATTTGTTTAATTATTAGTTTGTCGCAGTCAACGAATGACCTGGCATCGACTTTTACCTACGTACTACAAGTCGTGGATTGGTTAACTACAAGATGCAAAGAGAATTCATGCACGTAAGCAAAGTGAGCGTGAAAACTAAAAACTAAATAAATGATCACGTAGATCAACTATACAAAACCACTTTCTAAGAGGAGCACTGCTGCACGTATGATAAATCTCAAATGATCAGCGTATGATACATTGATACTTTGTAATATCTTGTGAGTGCGGTAAATATAGGGACTAAAATGTCTTCACGTAATCAATAAATCATGAGAAAAATTCCTATGTACTCTTGAGAATTCGTCCAATCCTTTATATACCCCTGAATTTAGCCTCATCCTTTATATATCCATGAGTTTTTATTTTGATCTCCTCTATGCCCATTCCGTTAGTTGACCGTTAAATATTTTTGAAATTGACAATATTACCCCTCTCTTTTACTTATGTGCTAGTTTAATGATAAAAACATAATTCTTATATGAAAAAAGATCTATTTGTAAATAAACAACGGGAATATAATTATTTGACAACAAATTTTAAAAATAAATAAAAACATTTAAATAAATTTTAAATTAACTTTGTTTTCATCAAAATTTGAACCCGACAAATAAATAATTTTGGTTCACAATTTCTAGCTAAAACTCTTATATGGATTTTGTCAAAAAAAAAATAAATTTGTTCAACAATTTAAATTTTCTTTTCAATAAATAATTATGTCCCATTTGATTTTATCATGAGTTACAGTTTTTCACATTGTGAATTGTAAGAATGGGAAATGGACGATATGGTCATTTTAAAAAAATTTAACAGTCAACTCACGGTCAGCTAACTAAATAGGGATAGAGGAGATCAAAATGAAAACTCAAGGGCATGTAGGGGATGAGGCAAAATTCAGGGGTATAGAAGAGATTGCGAATTTTTTCAGGGGTATGTAGGGAATTTTCTCATAAATCATCTAATATAATCACTGTGTGCATAGCAATTTCCTTCTAAGAGCACCATGTTAACTTAAAAAAATGATTACATAGATCATAAAAAGTATCACGTTGTACATGTTGATTAAATATATTGTGCCTATAAATTTGCATTTAACATCGTAGGCACCAAAATAACCAAATACATTGTACATTGTGGGAACCCATGTATTTAATCAACATGTATTTTTGTTATGTACATTGTGGGAATCCAAATTAACCAAATCCTAGGTTAAAAATCTATTTGTTATGCACATTGTGGGAACCCAGGCACCAAATTAACCAAATACAACTTAGAGTATTTATTATTGATTATAAATTTTAGACTTGAGAAGCTACAACTAAGTCTCCAATCAAGTATATTATTTATGAATTTAAAAATAATTAAATCATAAAGAAAACCCCTTTTGATATTTTTAAATATCAATACGTTCAACACACATGTTAACAATTAGTGCAGTATATAATGAAATTAAAAAAAAACTTTTGATTATATGGCAGATGCACATGCACGTACACCAACCACACATGAAACACGACACTTTATATTCGTGAATATAATTTCTAACGCATACTCAAGTAGATGGAAACCGACAGTACATTCTTTATCACCTTAAAGTTATACTTAATTCTATGTAGCCTTCAACTTTGGTTTCTTTTTTTTGTTGCTCAGAAGTCAGAAGTAATATTGTTCCGTTTACATTCGTTACACTACAACTTTTTCCTTGTTATCTTAAATATTTTACGAGTGCGCAATATGAAATGCTAACGGTTCCAAAAGGGTCCGTCCTTTTCTCTTCACAATTCACAAAGAAGCATAAATAAAGAAACAAAATAAAAAAAAAAGATACTATTGCGCACCGCTAATGCGGTGGTAATGCAGCGCCACCATTGATCCAAAGGAAAAAAGAATAGAAAAACAAAAGAAAGGAAGAAAAAAAAAAGGAAGTCTAAAGAACAGAGGAAGAGAACAAATGCCAGCCCTTCCGTTTCGCCCTTTCGGCTTTCCTCCGTCGTGGTGGACTCCTCCCGGCTACGGCCACACGGCGCCGCACCAACCCCCCACCCCCCGCGCCTGAATTTTTTACAATTTAGTCCTTTTGAAAACTTATTTCACAAATAGACCCCTGGAGAAACTTATCCCAGAAATGATTTTTTCTGGGATAAGTTTTTCTAGGGGTTTATTTTAGAAATAAGTTTTCCAAAAGGATCAAATTGTAAAAAATTCATGACGCCTGGGACCCAACCGCAGGGACACACACCCACACGCGCATCCATCCATCCATCCATCCAACCCACCTGCGCAGGACGCACCGCACCGCACCGCTCCGCTGCTGCTGCTGCTGCTGCTCATCATCTCTCCGAAGCTTCTCATCTCCTCTCCACTCCTCCTCCTCCTCCTCCCCCTCGCCACCTCCCACGCGCTGCCACGCCGGCGACACGACCACTGCCTCCCCCCGCGCGGGCGCGCCAAGCGCCGGGATCCCGCTGCTGCGTTCCAGTTCGCGGCCGGGGCGTAGTAACCACAGGTGAGGTTTCCTTTTGGGCGGTTGCGGCTGCGTTTTTTTTTTCTCTCTGAGAATTGTGGTGCGCCCCCGCCCTACGCGGGGGATCGGTGAATTGGATGCGCTTTGTCTTCCTGATGGCCGCTGCGAGGGAAAAGTGGGATCTTTTTGTTGTTGTTCTACTGTTTTGATTTTTGCGGGGGGGGGGGGGGGGGGGGCGTTCTGTCCTGTTTGCGTAGTGAGTAGAGTTCACGCTGATGGTGGTGGGGAAGGGGAATGGAACGGATGAGTTGCCAGAATTTTGGGAATCGGGGGGCGGTTGGCATTGGTCTAGTTGGGTTAGTTTTACTTGCTTCGTTAGCTGGATTGTTAAAGCTCCAAACTTTTCATGGCTCTTCTGCTCAGTTTGAGCCTGTATGGTGTAGTTCAGGAGGTGTGTTTTGCCGTGGGTTGGTTAGAGAATTTGATGAGCCTGGAATCGACGTAATGAATATTGGTCTCTCTTGCTCCAGAAGAACTCCGAATCTGTTGCCTTGATGGCACGTGAATTTTCAGTTGATAAAGTTGGAGTTTCATCATGGATTTGTGTGGTAACTTGCGGGATAAAGTAAGTTTCAGTTCGTTTTAGAAGTTGAATTTCTCTATCCTACTTTATGAGAGATTCTAAGAGTTTTCTCGTTTTGCTCTGAATTTATCTGTATATGAGGACTTTTAGGGGGGGGGGGGGGATGACCAATTTCTTGAAAAACCTATTGTTTAATTGGAGCTGTTCATTTCTAGTTCCCAATTTTCAGTAAATGCGTTCTTAGCAAGTGATTGCTTGATACCACGATGATACCCCGCAAATGCATCCTCTCCGTAATTCAGGATCATATGATGTTAAATTGTTAATCACTAGTTCTTTCCCAGTATGTGAGTTCCTTTTTTTGTTCTTCTCTGTAAATTTAGCCCTTGTTTGTGTCACAGTCTCTCAGAGTTCTAGAATTCACACTACTGATACCGAATCTTGAGCACAGTCAGTTTGACTGTTTGAGCATTACGTATGAATCTGTTTCTACAACGATGTATGTAATGATAATGATGATTGTAATTTGTAATTGATGCAGTATATATAGACTAACATACAGAGCTGCTGATGAAACATTAGCTTATCTTTCTTGCCAGCTTAATCAACTCTTTGATACCATCTAATAGCAAACTCCACTTTATATAAAATACAGACACAAAGTTACACAGTTGACCATTATTTCATACCAAAATAGCTTCCCCAAATACTATCTTTTATCTGCAGTGCATGCCCGTAACTTTTTGTTTCTTGTGAATTTCAGCAGTGCAATACACCTTAAAATGGGGTCTACACGATCAAAGAATGAAGATGACAAGGCCATTGTCTTATGCCACGAAAGAAAACGATATGTTAGAGAAGCACTTGATGGAAGATGTGCATTCGCAGCTGCTCACTTCGCTTATATTCAATCACTGAGACACACAGGATTTGCTCTGAGAAAATTTTTGGAGCCTGAAGTGCCAACAGATTCTTCGCTGTACACATCGACATCTGCAACACCAGAACCTCCTACTATTCGGCAGAAATCGAGGAACTTATCTCCATCTATTTCACATCAGGCCAGTGACTCTTTCTCCCCAGTTCCATCCCCTTTATCTTCCGGACGGTTCCGTATCAATCATATGAAATCTGGGGGGAACCCTGTCATGACCATTGAGGAGAAGGTGCCTGTTCCTGTAACAGCAACTCTACAAACATCATCCCTTGTTCCTAAAGCTGTACATGACCTGGATGATAGTTCCACATTTGAAGCACCTCCAGGGACACCACCGTGGGACTACTTTGGCCTTTTTAACCCTGTTGAGAACCAATTTTCATTTCATGACGAGAAGGAGCCTGGTCATGACTTTGAAAACGCTGATGATATCAGGCGTCTTCGGGAAAAGGAGGGAATTCCAGAGCTCGAAGAGGAAGGGGAGAAGACTCCTGTGCATCCTGACAATGTTAGGCGCTTCCGTGATGAGAAAACTTCAGATCTCAAAGATGCAGAAAAATCTCCTATCAATGGAAGGGAGGATGATTTTGCAGAGTCAGAAGATGATTTCGATAATCCATCATCTGAACCTTTAGTGAGGGTGTTCCAGAACCGCAATGATATGCCTGTTGAAAATACTGTGATGAATCAGACACCTGAACATGTGGCTTCAGAAAAGTTAGCTTCAGAGAATAGCGTTTCTTTTTCTCGAAAACAGGAGAATAGTGATTCTTTTTCTCGAAAACAGGAGAATAGTGATTCTTTTTCTCGAAAACAGGAGAATAGTGATTCATTTTCTCGAAAACAGGAGAATAGTGATTCTCAAATTGACAGGCCAAACAATGACAAGGAGGTGCTAGACATTAGCATGTTTGAAAGTGATGATGAAAGCCCTGTGGCAAGCCCTGTAAAAGAAGTGAGATCTTCCATTGCTGCTCTTCCTATGAATGGGAAATCAAAAGAACCTTTTCATGACGTTAGAAATGGTGCGAAGGATTTGCATTCATGCATGAAAGAGATTGAAATCTTGTTTATTAGGGCATCAGATTCTGGAAAAGAAGTACCAAGGATGCTTGAAGCAGATAAAGTCAATTTCCGGCCTTTACTGCCTGAAGAAAAAGGTTAGGTATCAATAAAATTAAATTACTGTTCTGTAGTATCTTATTTGGAAATTGCATGGAAAATAATGGCAGAAAGATTTTGGGATGCAAAAATATCATGATGTGAAAATTTTCATGATTCTTTTCAATGTTATCCATCTATAGAATATCTTTTGCCTGTGATTTTTATCATGGACAATTCTGTCTTTACTAATTTTATTGCAATTTTGGTGCAGCACATGGATCAAAAGCATCAGGCTTCTTTGCGACATTCTTTGCTTGCTGCGGTGGGGAGGAAATTCCTATTCCTCAGCGTAAGTTTTTATATCTGAAATACAGTCTTTCCGCAGCAGATTATGTTGCTGTGTATAGTTTTGCATCATATCATGTTTGTTTCATGCCGTTTATTCCTGGATCTCTGGTTAAAAGATTTGTTTTTTCCACAAATGGAAAAATTCTATGTTATCTACAAGCTGATATGTACTTTCCACATTCTCACACGAGCAATTTTGACAGAATCTTAATTATTTTGTCTTTTACCTTGTATTATATATGTTACAGCTTTTTTTCTCCCTTCCACCATAACAAGAGGTGCCCTTTTGTCATAATGCAGCTCCTCCTGAGGCTGAAGTGAAGTACCTTACCTGGCACAGATCAGTTTCTTCACTCTCTTCATCATCTAGAATTCCTCTTGGGGTGACTTCAAAAGATGATGCTGATGGTCTCACTGGAAATATCTTTAGTGGTGTATACATGAATTCTGGCAGTCACGCTTCAACACTAGATAGATTATATGCATGGGAGAGAAAGCTTTATGATGAAGTTAAGGTACTTGTATTTTGGCTGGTCTTGTTACTAAAATATTTACTTTAGTTTATCTGTTCTAGCCAGTTTTTGAAATATTGTAAAGTAGAGAGGTAGCAATGAAGTGTTTTAGGATTGAAACTAGCCTTCTTTTTTTTTCTTTTTTTTTTTGCAAAAAGGGAAATAAGATCGATTTTGAACTAATTAAAACAGAACCTACCTAGAACATGTAATAAATAGGAACTAGCCTTTTTTTTTTTTTTGCAAAAAGGGAAATAAGATCGATTTTGAACTAATTAAAACAGAACCTACCTAGAATATGTAATAAATGGGACATACGAAAACCTGAATGTATTTGATAGAAGGATTGCGACTCACTATATACAACATGGCAATTGCACAAAGTGCTACTGTAATCATTCCACAGCAACCACTCAGGCTATTTAGGACAATTATGTAAGTAGTGTGAGCCAGTTACATTATTTTCTTATGTACCTACGTAATACAGCCATAAAAAAATTCACTACCGATGCCCACTTATATGTTCATTTTGCACTTTTTATTCCTATTCCCTTCACTTAATTCCTTTGTACTAATGTTCTTGAATAAATAAGCTATATCCGTGTATGTTTGCCTTAATCTGTGAATTTCTATGTTGTAAACATAGTTAAATCATATAATGATGGCAAATTTGATGATTTGTTTGAAATGCTAACCTTTATATTGTCTTCAGGCTAGCGGTGCAATTTGTAGGCAATATGACGAAAAATGTAGGCAATTGAGACACCAGGAATCAAAAGCTGAAAGCCAAATGAGTATCGATAGAACCCGTGCTACTGTGAAGGATTTGCACTCCAGAATTATAGTGGCCATTCAGAGAATTGACATGATCTCTAAGAACATTGAGGATCTAAGGGACAAAGAGCTTCAACCACAGTTGGAGGAATTAATTGGGAGGTATGGTTCACCATCTATGTTTTACTATACTGTTTTCTAGTGACATGTTACAATTCAATGAACACTTTAATGTCGATGTCAGCATATTTGACCAGCCTGATCAAGGCCCCTTTCAACACCTTAGGTCAAGTTATTAGTAGATTTACTCCTGGTTTTGGATTATGGGTTTTGACCATAACTTGCTTGGTCGAACAACCGCCAGGTGTATGAATGAAACAAAGGGCCAACTTGCCCTGGTCCTGTTTTTGCTCTAGTCTACATTAACAGAAGATAAATGGATAAGGTAGTACTTACCATTGCATGTTGCTTGGGGATGATTTATTCCTACCTCCAGCATTGCCCAAGTTTCATAAAGTTGTTTGTGAGCTTTGTAGAATATAATAAAGCAATTTGATGCTCATGTACTGCATGTTACCTTTGTCTAGTTATTTACTGATAGTTTTCCAATATTTGCATTTTAATAGATAGTATATACATCTCATTTGCAGTTTAACTCGCATGTGGTCTACAATGCTTGAGTGTCACAAACATCAACGTGAGATTATTAAGTCCAGCAGTGGCAACACGAAGGTCTTAATTCGGTCGGAGTCACAATTTCAAGCAGCTCTACTCCTCCAGGTTGAGCTAAACACTTTATATTCAACCTTCCTGAAATGGATAGCATACCACAGATCGTACTTGCATAGCCTAAATTCATGGCTACTTAAGTGTGTGAAACCACTGAGGGGCAAGAAGAGCTCCAGGAGGAAGAAGGAAGCAGATACTCCCATAACTAAATTTGCTGTTGCACCCATGTTTAAAACCTGTGAAAGCTGGATAAAGTTATTGGATGATTTACCAACCAAGGACTTGGAAGATGCTATCAAAGGCCTCGTGGCAGATATAAACCACTCTGTGCCTCGCCAAGAAAAGCGGCGTGGTACTTCAAAGTTGACTTCCTCATTATCCCGTTCCAGTAGTACCAAGACGATTTCCTCATTTTCTCGGAATGGAGAGTTAAATGGTGAAATGTCAGAGATCCACAGAAATTCCCATACTACGGATTTACAGTCAAGTTTGGAGACATTCCTAGAGGGGTTTGCAGAGTTTTCAGATGTTTCACTGAAGAAGTATATGGAACTCGCGGTTGACATTAACAAAGCAAAGGAACAATATGAGAATGTGAAGTTAAAGAACATGGGAAAGTGAATAAGTTCGACAAAGTCAGACCAAAGGAACTAATTTCTGGAAGGAAGAATGGGCTACAATAACTCAAAGCCATTTAGAAGTGGATAAGTGGATCACCCATGTGTATATTAGCCTGTTTAAACAATAGGTATAAATTACTGTTACTTTTCTTTTTGGGTTCAGTTTGCAAGATAGGTTTAGGTGGGAGAGGAATACTTGTAGATTTCTGGCCAATGCCATGCCGCAGAAGTGTAAATCTGAGGTTTAGGTAAAATTAAACTGATGGTGGGGGATACAATATGTGTATTTATCCTGGGTATATCATTATATGAGTTTTCCCTTTTCTTCTCTTTTTGATCTGTGTAGACCTTCCAGTCCTTTATACAGCTAGACGTATCTATACAGCCAATTTCTCCTTTTGCGGTGAATCCCTGATCGAATTGTGATTGCTAGAAATGTACTGTTTCTGTGCATTTCGCAGCGAATGTTTCACTCTGAATGCTGTGTTACACTGAATGTTTGTGTTGAACCTGGAATATATTTCCTTCGTTGCTTTTTACTACCTTCTCAAAGGCCTCAAAACGTCAATTTCGCAAGGTGGTATTGTTGGAGGCATATGTCACGCGAATGTTTCACTCTGAATGCGGTGTTACACTGAATGTTGTGTTGAACCTGGAATATATTTCCTTCGCTGCTTTTTACTACCTTTTCAAAGGCCTAAAAACGTCAATTTTGCAAGGTGGTATTGTTGGAGGCATGTCACGAGGGCCTTCGCCTGGGCCTGCCGAAACCACAAGAACCGTGAGGTGTTGGCTGAGTCCATGAGGCGAAGCAGCTGGCGAAGCTAGATGATGAAGACCGAGGGGTTCGCCACCAAGCCCATCATCCTAACAAGCCTTCACTACGGGCGAAGACCGTAGAGCGAAGCAGGAAGGTTTTGCTCTGGTTAGAAGCGGTTACGGCAGAGGGCTTGGAAAACACCGTGGCCCATGGAGGCCTTTCGTCAGTAATGGGCCAGCCTAGGAGTTCACTTATAAGCTTATGAATACAAAGGATACTGTATGCCCTCACTAAAGTCCCTATCATAAGGGTACCATGTAAATTCCACTGTATAAATTAAACCCTATAAAGTGTCAGTGTGTACTAAGGCTATAAATAGCACCATAGGGCTATGTAATGGGGGATCCCAAAAATTTCTTACCAATTAATATATTACTTTTACTATTCCACTCAACTCAGTGAGTGAACCATATCTTTCGATGTGACGCAGTTGTCTTTCGACAGCAGGTATCAAGGAAGAAGCAACATGATTTTGCCTAGAAGAAAATTTCTTAAAATTTTCTTTATTATGCTCTTCATATTCTCTTTAATGAAATTTATGAAATATCCCAATGAATATTACAGTAACTATCTCATCCTGTTTTTTCTTTGTTTTATCCGGACGAACATGATGTGTACTTGTGCAGAGTGTGTCGTGCATGTGCAGTGGTGTACGTGTCTAATATAGGGGCTGTAAGTGTAAACTTTTTATATTATCATACTACCTCTGTTCCAAAATAATTTTAATTCTAGATTATTTGACCTATATTAAAGTTTGAGAATAAAGAATATGATGTTTCTTATTAAATGACGTATAGATAAAAGTGAGGATGGTTGAGGATAGAATGGAGAGAAATTTAAATGAGAAGTGATTAATATAACAATTAGTACTATATTGTAATAACTATTTTATGATAAATTAAACCCTATAAATATAATTATTATAGGACGGAGAAAGTATTTTTTTTCGTTTGGTTTTATATGTGCTTCAGATATTACTGGTGGGTGTGTGGGTGTTCCTAATGCTACATGCAGCAGCGGCCCATTTAGGCCCAAGAGTTCATCGCGAATCGTCGTCTTCTCTCCATTTCCCTTTGCCACGAACAAATTCCAGAAACACCCTCCCATATCCCTCGCGGCGGGCCAACGGACGGGGCCACCCCACGGCTTCGCGGCAGATCTCCCTCCTCCTCCTCCTCGTCCTGGGCGGCTCCGGCGGCGTCGCCGGCAGGGGAAGCCAGAACGCGATGGATCTGTGGAACAAGCTGCGGAGCCTCGACGCCTACCCCAAGGTGAACGAGGACTTCTACAGCCGCACCCTCTCCGGCGGCCTCATCACCATCGCCTCCTCGCTCGCCATCCTCCTCCTCTTCCTCTCCGAGATCCGTACGTCACGCGCCACCTCCCTGATCCCTCCCTCTCCGCCTCAGATCCCCCTTCCGATTTTTCGGGTTTCCGCCTGCCTTGGGTGTGGGGGCGCGGTGGCTTTTTTTGCGGATTGGTTCCGTTTGTTCACGTGTGTTAGGGCGGGTGCGAAACGGGAGGAGTCTGTGGTTGGTTGGCCGTCCGATCGAGTGGGAATTGGAAATAACGGGCGGATAATTAACAGTCCAATTTAACATGCATTTGAATCGTGTATTCGTATTGGTTAGAAGGTGGCGTGAGGAATTAATTACATGAAGGTAAGAGGCGCTTGGTGTGGAGGGTACGGTAGATTAGTAGGATGTATGATCTAGAATGCTGTTGATTTCAATTGCCATGCTATGGATCAGTTGGTGTTATCACTTGTCAGAGTGTTGGTATTTGTTTCATTTTGCAAGGATGTTTTTGTGTGGATTTAGTGAGTCATATGTAAATTGTTCTGTTATGCTAATATCATTAATGTGAAGAGCCATGGTTTGATTAATTTGAGAGCATTTCATGTTACCATTTCTAGTTCTTTTTTTCTGATGGGTAGATTAATTGTTATTTGCCAATACTTTACTAGTTATTTCCTGCACTGAACATTCTTAACTTTTCTGCAGGGCTGTATCTATATTCTGCTACAGATAGTAAGCTCACAGTCGATACCTCAAGAGGGGAAAGGCTACACATCAATGTTAGTGTGGATGTTCATTTTCATTTTCCCCGAAGTTTCCAATTTTCTTGCATTGCTAAGACATTTTGCATCTCCAGTTTCCTCTTGTTAATTTGTGCCCCTCCATGCATGTATTCCTATTTGGAAAGCCACGCTCTTGGGCATTTAGGCTCCATCTATATATTATATTATTAAGACAGGCTTGATAGGAGACATCATGTTCCTTGTGGAGGCTAGAAATTCCCACATTAATCGGAGGAAAACAAAAAGAGAGTTAAATAGGAATACAATTTAGAAATAACTGAAATTCGGAATTAGAAATAAGGAATATTGGAATAACAGTCCATATAGAACCCAATACGAGAATAATTAAAATCTCTACTACTTAAAAAGACTAAGATGATTCTGTCGTCCATCATTGACGTCACAGCGCCTCACGCGCATTCGCGTCCAAGTCGTGTGCGTTTCAATCCTGCTGCATGGCACCGTATCGATTTAAAGGATTTTTCTTTTAAATAAAAGGGGAAAGGAAAACGTGGCAGGAAGACTGCCTATGATAATCTGAGAGCAAATCAGGAAAGAGTTCCAATAAAAACGACTTCACGCCAATTCAATCGTCACCCAATTTCTTGCTACGTAATAGGAGTTTTGGGTTGTGCTTTTATAGAGAATTGAATCGGGTTTTTTCTTAAGATTGGTTTGAGATATTCTTGTGCCTTTCATCCAGAAAAGTAAGATATGCCCCGGTCGATGATTGGCGATTTATCTGTAGCCCGCTTGGCTCTGTAGCTCCGTATGCATGCACATCCAATTAAGCTCTCTGATGCAAAGATGGACATGTTTATGAGTAGATTTTGGGATTTCTCCCTGATGTGCAATCATGCCAAAGATGTCTAAATTGAATCCTAATCATTTAAGATTGATCGTAAATATTAATTAGTTTCTCCCATTACAAAGCTCGGGCACATTTGCTAGTTCCAGTCTAATTTATCTTTCTTTACTCTTCTAAAAAGAGGAGTTGAGGTGATTGGTGTGTTCTCACCCCCACATTATAAGATCTTTAGTGGTTGCATATACGTGGTAACAGGATATTTATACGTTCTTTGCATTTTTTTTATGTGAAAAAAAGGCATTCCATGGACGTATGCGCTAATTGGTCTTATGTAACCATGTAAACAATCTTGAGGTCCGAGGTATTTTTTTTTGTATGTGTGTAATCTTATGTGGCCACTGCACATGCCATTTTCTGCAACTAGTTGAGGAATCCTATACTTATTGTTAATTTATGTTGCTGCACTTTTGCAGTTTGATGTTACGTTCCCAGCTCTTCCTTGTTCACTTGTTGCTGTTGATACAATGGATGTCAGTGGAGAGCAGCACTATGATATAGTATGTACGACAGTTTTCATCAGTTTCCTTATTATATTATATATATTTTGATCTGTTTTAAAAAGTGCTTCCCAAGCACTGTATCACATAATATTCTACCTGAGGTTCCAAACCATCTGCTTTGCAGAGACATGACATAATAAAGAAAAGAATTGATAATCTTGGTAATGTAATTGAATCAAGAAAAGATGGAGTTGGTGCCCCTAAGGTATGTTTTCTTACTTTTAACTTGAAAAGGTGTACAGGTGAAACTGTTCTGTTTCTTTTTCCTTCACATTCATCACCATTGGAACTGTTCACTAGTTTTTATCTTAGAAAATTTGAGATATACTTTAGTTAGCCAATTAATTTTATAACCAGACCTTGAACATTGTGGTCTGTGATATTTTTCTTTTACTCTGGAAAATAGCTGGTCCTATTGTGCTTCCGTTATAAAATTTTGGCCTTCATAGTGCTTGCATGCAGCCAGGAAGTTATTTTAGATTCTTCTAGTTGTTAGTGACTATTCTTGTTGTGATTTTCCAGAAAAACAAGCATAGGTTATTTATGCTGCCACTTTATTTATGTCAGTAACCTCTATAAAGAAACAAATTGAATATAAATCCAGGCATACTGGCATGAAGGGATCGGTATAATGGTTGTGAAATATGCTGTCAAGGATAATGTTCTTATATCATATCCACGCATAGTAGTGGTGTACTGGCATGAAGGGGTTGTCATATTATTATTCCTTACTGTATGATGGGTGTGCGCTATGTTGGCAAAAACAATATTTAACTTTAACTAACTTGAATCATGGAACTCTAGATTGAAAGACCACTGCAGAAACATGGTGGAAGACTTGACCACAACGAAGTTTACTGTGGATCTTGTTATGGTTCTGAAGAGGTACCTTGTACACTTCTCTAATACCATTATGTTGAGTTTGCCTATTTTTATTAATGTAACTATTTATGTATTTACACCTATATTATTTGCAACACTAATTTTTATCCTTCCTCTTCCATTGAAATTGTAAGAAAAACTAATATTGTTTTTATTAATTCATCAGTCAGATGATCAGTGCTGTAACTCCTGTGAAGACGTCCGTGATGCCTATCGGAAAAAAGGGTGGGCACTCACCAATATAGAAGAGATTGATCA